GAGGAGGCGGAGGAGGGTGAGGAGGACGGGGAGGAGCGAGGCGCGAGAGACCTCGGAGGCAGGAGGAGCGAGAAGCGCGGAGGGAGCAGGGACGATGGAGGAGCTGGGAGGGATGAGGGAAGAAACAGGAGGGCAGGAGAAGCGGGAACGGAGGAGGGAGGAAGTGGAGAAGGGAAGGCGGACACAACGAGGGCGGTTCGGGCCGGCGCCTCGGCAATCAGTTCGATCGGCGGCTGCTCGAGAGACCGGGCAATCCCTCCGGACGGCCACCCACTGCTACAGTCATCGGCCTGACCTAAGGGACGATAAATAAGGAACGAAGCCCCTTTTTATCCCAAGGAATAACGCATAAGGAGCGATAAATAATAAATAGCGCATAAGGAACTGTAAATAACGCATGTAAACCTAAGGAACGACCGAGCCGAGCCCCTTTTGAACAGTAAGTGTTCCTTATTCAAGCCGCTCACTGTAGCACTGAACCACCCTCGAGCCTGCCGAACGCTGGGAAAAAAAAACCGAGGGACGAGGAACAGACGGGAGGGGGAGGGGAAGAGGGGGAGGGGGGAGAGGAGGAGGAGGGGCAGAGAACGAACCAGCAGGACGGCGGAGGGGAGAGAGACGAGAGAAAGGAGATGGATGGGGAGGTGCACCTGCGGCCAAGTGGGTGCGCGTACGGCTCAGACGGTGCTGTTGAAACTACAGTTAGGTCGGGCATGTCCCCCTGCAGGCGGATTTTGGACGAATGGTTGAGAATCCGCCGACCCTGTCGGCGTGTGTGAGGGGCTTGTCCGTTCAAGTCGTCATCTCCGTCATTCGTTGGTCGTCGTCTCTGTCGTCCCCTTTCCCTGCCTCCCCCCTTTCCCTGGGCTCGTCGAAGCTCCCCCCTTTCCCAGGGACCTCCTCAGCGCGCCAGCCAAAGCGAAGTTGAGAATCGTTGTAATTGAGTCGAAGGGAAGTCCCTTCCCTTCGATCCCTCCCCCGCCAGGGGTGGGGGTCCCGGGGGGGGGGGGGGGGTCAGATACGACGCCCCCCCTGGGAGCCCCAGAGCCCCAAAAAGCCCCAAGACGGGCCAAGAGTGCCCCAAAAGGCCCCAAAGACAGTCCAAGAGAACCACGAATCGCCGAACGATCCGTCCAAGATCTTGACGGCCTCCAGACGGCCCAAGAGGCCTGCAAAGCGCCCCAAGAGGCCCCCAAGAGCTTTCCCACGAGAGCCCCAAGAGGCAAAATTCATTGATTTCCCATACGTTTTGGAAAGATTTTGGAGTTCTTGCCTCTTCCGCTTCCCGACGCGCCAAGACGGCCCAAGAGGCCTCCAAGATCGCCCCGAGACAGCCCAAGAGGCCCCCAAGAGGGTCTCCTAACAGCCGAAGAGGGCCCCAAGACGGCCCAAGACGCCTCCAAGACGGCCCAAGAGGGCCCCCAAGACGGCTCCAGGAGTGCCCAGACGGGGGATCCGAACGGACATTTCGAGCTCTCAGCCCCAAGAGGCCCCAAAGAAGCCCCAAGAGGCCCCAAGAGGCTCCCAAGGGGCTCCCAAACTGCCCCAAGACACCCCAGGAGAGTCCCAAATTGCCCAGGAGGCCTCCAAGAGTGCCTCAAGACAGCGCAAGAGGAGCCCTGGACGGCCCAAGACGGCCTCAGGAGAGCCCCAGGCTGTCCCAAGAGAGCCTCTGGCCTCCTCCTATTCCTACTCCTCCTCTCCTCCTCCTCCTCCTCACCCTCCTCCTCCTCCTCCTCCTCCCCCCCCTCTGCTCACCCTCCTCCTGCTCTCCTCTGCCTCCTTCTCCTCCTCTTGCTTCTCCTCCACATCCTTCTCCCCCCTCCTCCTCCCTCATCCACCTCCTCCACCCTTACTCCACATCCCACTCATCCTCCTCCCCCTGCCCCCACCCTCGTTTTGAACTTTGTCGTTCTCAGGGTCGGCGGCACCGGCCGTAAGGCCTTCGCAATAGTCAAATCATACCCCACAATGGTCAAACATAGTCGAATAAATCGTCCCCTAAGTATTTGTCAAACTATTTTTGGATCTTCCTCTTGTAGAAGGACATGCCCGACTTAATGTTGTTGAAACTACAGGGGGGGTCACCATGCCCATGCTGGGATGCTCTAGAGGCGTCCTGGGCTGCCGTGGAGGGAGGCATCCTGCCCAGTCCTGCAGGCGTCCTGGGCTGCCTTGGGGGCCCCCTTGTCCGCCTTGGAGGCGTCCTGGGCTGTCTTAGATCGGGAATCTTCTGACCCGGGTCAATCCAGACCCGGGTCAATCAAACCTTGCAGAATCCTGCAAAATCCTGCAAGATCCTGCACCCAAACCCGGGTCATGCGAAGTGTCCTGCAGGATCCTGCACACAGATCCGGCGCTCAGGTTGACCCCCGTTTGCATTGACCCCTGTCTCTTGAGCCCCGATTGGTGGCGCCCTTGGCCTTGTCGGGAAAGGGGCCGCGGTGGCGGCGACAGCGGCAGGGGCAGCGAGAGCGGCAGCCATCGAAGCCTGGTTGCCCCTTTCGACGGCCGCTGCGTCCATGACGCGCACCTCGACGGCTGTCTCCTGGGCTAGCGCAGCCTGCTGGAGGGTCAGTAGCCCTTGCAGGCCGCCAGCGAGACCTCTGGTTGAGCCTCCTTCTCCTCCACCCCCTTTTGTCCTCCTCCTTGTCCTCCTCCTCCTCCTCCTCATCAGCATCATCATCAGCAGCAGCATCAGCATAATCGTCATCATATTCATATCCTTTACCATCATCATCATCATCATCATCATCATCATCATCATCATCATCACCAGCATCATCATCAACATCATCATCACCGTCACCATCATCATCACCATCACCCTCAGCAGCACCACCAATATCATCATCATAATCAACAGCATCATCATCAGCATCAGTTCATCCTCATCATCACCATCACCATCAGCATCATCATCAGCATCAATATCATCATCACCATCATCATCATCATCTTCATCGTCTGCGGACACGTCATCATCATGACCCGCCTCTTCATACGCCTCCTCCTCATCATCAGCATTAGTACCGTCATTATCATAATCACCTTCATCATCCCCATCATGAGCATATTCATAGTTGCCACCATCATCAACAACATGATCATCAACATGATCATCAACCTGATCCTCAGCATCCTCATCAACGCCAGCTCCACCATCATCAGCATCTAAGGTATCATTACCATCATGATCATCATCATCATCCTCATCATCTCCATCATCATCATCATCATCATCATCATCATCATCATCATTATGAGCATCATCATCGCCGGTATCTTCATCTACAGCACAGCCTTCACCGCCATCATCATCAACAGTTTATGCATCGGCTTCGTCACCGCAATCAGCATTATCCAAACCATTACCAGCATCAGCACCATCATCATCATCGTCCGCATCATCCTCAACAACCTCGCCATCCACATCATCCGTTTTCATCAGCAACATCAGATTTAGCACTAGGTTCGGCAATGGCGACTACAGGTGGTCCACCGCCGTATCGGGCGAAGAAACTCAAATTGCAAACAAAAAATCTCTAAGCCCAAACCTGCGGAAATCTCGAACTCTCAAAAAAAAACGCCAAAAAAACTCGAAGCCTAAACCTGTGAAAATCTCAAACTCTCAAAAAACTTGAACACATAACAGAGCCACAACCTGCCGAAATCCCAGGCTCAAAAAAACAGCAAATCTCTAAACCAACAACCTGCGAACATCTCATACTCAAAAAAACCAACTGCTGTTGTTCGTTAAAAAACTCGAAGCCGAAACCTGGGGCAATCTCAAATCCCCCCAAAAGCTGAAAACCAAAACTCTTCAAAACAACCCTTTTAAAAACAACTTGGTTTAAAACGGTTTACAAAAACTAGAAAATTTCAGAACGCCTGAGAGTTCGAAGCAACATCTCAAAAACTTCAACAACAACTAAACGCCCCCAAACACCCTAACACCATGTTTTTCTCGAAACAGAAAAACTGCCAAACAACTCTAAAACAACATCTCTAGACAAATGTCTGACCGCCTGGCGAACTCAAACAAAAAACTCTGAAACAACTCCAAAAAAACAACTCTGAATGCAAACTCCTGCTAAAATCTGGGAGAGGTCGCAAGTTTGGGTTTTTTGGTTGCTTTGGAAGTGGTTCTAGAATTCGAGATTTTCGCAGGTGTTGGCTTGGAGATCTTCTGAAGTTGTTTTGGAAGTATAGATGTTCGAAGGTTTTGGCTTACATATCCTTTAAAGTTTTTCCGAGTTTGAGATCTCCGCAGGTGTTGGCTTAGAGATGTTTTACCTAACAGCGAAAACTGATAGGTTTCTAATAGGGTCAAAAGAGAGGATCTTGACGCAGTCTGAAATAACTCTGGTAGGTCATATTGCATCAAATTCCATGTCGAAGGAATGCGATGTGGGGAGTGGATGGGTAAGATAGGATAAGATCGACGTAATGATCTTTCCAGCAGGTAGCGAATACCAAGTCAGGTATCCGGGCAAATAGGGCGCGCGCGCCTTGAGCCATAAGACAGCGACGCGCAGGCTATACTCCCGATTATCTATAACATCTCCCAAAGAGCTGCCCTTAAAGTCGGGAGGGGAGGAGACGGAGAGTAAAGCCGCGCGGTCGCTCGGCTCTCGACAGGCGCGTAACTCTGTTTGCAAGGAAAACAGCATTCGCCGGCGAGATTCCTCGCAAAACTTTTCCACGCACGCACAGGATAGCCCCTCGGATATACAAGGGCTATCGGACCGGCTAGAGGTAAGCCAAACAGGCTATTCCCCTCCGGGCAAAAGTGTATTAAGGCAACGAGCCTGAACCAACCTGAACAGGCTCGTTGCCAAGCGTGAAAAGTATGGCTCGTTTCCGAGTAGGGAAGAGGGCGCCTCCCCATTAGGCGCCCGTGCTGGCAAACTGGACCGCAGGGGCAACAAGGACAGACTAAAATTGATTCGACTTAGGTTTGGTTTTGTCCTCGGGGCTCCGAAACGGAACAAACTGCTTCACGTCGTACTTTAATGACTGAGTGCCTAACATCACTTCCAAAAGCAGCTCCCGATCGATACTCGCCTTTGTATGCCCGTCTGCGGTCATGTCTGTAGTGTCACACCGCTGTACGTTATGCGCTATACCTATATCCATGAGCTCACGTGTCCAGCTGATATGTCCCAGCAAGGTACGTTCCGTCGGCATCTTAAGGTCTTTGCTGGATAACGATTTGTATACAGACTCAGCGTCTCTAGTAAGGGATATGTTGATAGCTAGGCCTCCAACTTCAAGCATATCTCGTAGTTGTCGTGGGGTAAGTGCTCTGGCCTTGAGCTCGTGGAGAGTGATGAGCGCGGGGTGGGATTCATCAAGATTATGTGCAGCTGCAAATGCCTCAGCGGCATAGCTGGACCTCACCTGCAGACGGTGTGACTTGCATAGTCCGTCGCAAAGGTGAACGGCGGATTTGCCTTGGGGCGAGCTTCCTCGCAGTAATACGTTAGCCCCACGAATACCGTAGCCCTTGGTTTCATCGCCCTCCTCCCCGGTGAGTTTCCGATACCCCGAATCACTATGTATGTCCACTTCATTCGTCGGTTTCATCCGGGGGACGGGCTGCTGATAAGCTTTCGCGTCGCAGCATTCAGTCGCCTGACTTGTAAATTGGTGGGCTCTTGGATCTTCTGGAGAGATACCACATGCACCATGAGCCAGACTTGAGTAAGAAGAGCATAGGCGAGAGCTCCTCGCAGGCAAACGAAGATGTCGGCGATGAGCTTGGTAGCCTTGGCGTCTGCCACTGCTCCCGTAAGCTCAGGATGTGTGATAGGACGTAGTTGTTTAATCTACTCGTCCTGGTCCATGATCACATCCCCTTGTTCATTCTTCGTGTAGCGAACGGCGCAGTTGGTGAAATAATGTTTGTAAAGCTTACATTTGCCAAACACCTCTTCGACGCGATGTACATAGTCGTCTACGTTTTTCTCTTGGTCTGTCATATTGATGTTGTCGACATGTTTTGCTGTTAACAGATCCTGACTGAAGTCAAATTCAGGATCGTAGCTTGTCGGTGTAAGGCCTATAGCTCGAGTGGTCGCGCGAAGCTTGAGGGAGAACGCTCCTGGGGCGTCCTTTGCACCCGTTCCAGGCTTGAGGCACCTGAGGCAGCGTCGGCTTTCATCATGGGAAGAGAAGCCTGGTAAGGTGCGAAGCACCTGGGCACTTCCTGGTGGAAGGGCGAAGCAAACCATGCGAGTCCCCTCGCCGGTGGCATGAGCAAGTTCCTCATATGTCAGTCCTTTGAGGAAAGCTTTGTCGGTATCCATAGATGCTAAGATCCATTCTGGATGACATGCCGCCTCACTTGCCAGAAGCCTCTGGGACTGTCGGCGGGCAAATCCCGAGAAGGTTTCTACATCGAAAGCCTCCATGTCCATGAATCCGCGGAGGACAAGTCTAAGACAGATAGATTTAACATTCTCGGTGCCTGCTTTCACAAACTTCCACTTGTATACATATCTGGATGTCATGATGTTGGAAGCTTTTGATAGGTCATACATCTCAAAGCACCGGTTGCCAAGACAGATCTTGAGTTCGGTGCGCAAAGCTTCACTAACCTCTTCAGGATGTGCTGCTATGCCGGCTTTGGTGAGTAGGTCGTCTTCCTTGACTACCACAGCACGTTTAGCAGCCGATGAAGCGTATACTCTCATCGTTGCGACCATGTTTGGTTCGAGCTGTGCGAGTTGGGTCTGATCCAGCACGATATTTGACATTTCTGGCGTGAAACATAGCTCGACATAGGGACCATGTTCTTCGCTGTCAAGAGAATAGCCCTCGTCAGGTGTAGTCGAGCATAAAGAGACAAGGCAGTGCTCTTGTTGTTCAGGCTCGTCTCCGAGCATCTCCGACACAGCGGTCTCTCCCTCGTCCGCAGATGCTGAGACCAAGACACATTGGTCGGGCAGCGTGGTTGTTGGGGCGCAGTAGAGATAGTCGTCGATAACCGTTGTGGGATGAAGGCCCATACGCAACTCATCGTACCACTCCTCCGACATCATAGCCTCGATGTCGTGTTCCTGGCTTTCTTCGTAGATTGTAGACAGGCGACCTTCACTTGGTGATGAAACACCTGGGGTGTCTGGAGGCGGCCTGTCTCCAGGCTGGTCGGGTCCTCCAGACGGTGTGTCCAAGAGTTGATACTTGGCAAGGTCGTCGTGGAACCCTAGGGAAGGAACTTGTGACGTCAGGCACTGGATGAGCCTGGAGTGAGTGCTACCAGTGATTTGAGAGATGTTCAGGCCGGTGCCTACACACTCATAATAGTGGAAGGCTGGGTTGACATCGTTGTCTTAGTAGATCAGTGTAGACCTGGTGGCGTACTTCACTGCAGGTAGATTGAGCACGCTCTTGGCCAATCTCACGGCTACTACGCGCTCAACTCGGAAAACGTTTCGCACGAGATACTGTAGTGCAAAGTGTACGCGCGGGTGAAACTTGCTGTCGTCGGAAAGATTGAGGTCTCCCTTGTAGTCTGGAATATAGCCAAAGGCTTTGGCAGGTTTCCCTGCGCCAAGGTGTGCCACATATGTAAGGGCGGTTTGCGTGGCCACGTTGTC